TTTAGTAAATCAGTCTGAAAACAAGATGATTATTCTTACACAATCAGTTCTTGTTTAGTAAATCAGTCTGAAAACAAGATCAAAAAGACTTTTTGGATGGATTTTAAAACTTGGTTAGGTGGAAAAACAGAGTTGTAAAGTAACTAAGTACAAATACTCTGTTACTGTACTTAAGTAGATATTTTGGTTATATGTACTTTACTTGAGTAATTATTTTTCAGCCTACTATTACTTTTACTCAACATTTTTACACAATTATCTGTACTTTCTACTCACTACATTTTTTAAAAAGGTAAGAAGTAGAAAGTCATTATTCCTATTTTATTCTGAGTTGTTATTACTTTAAAAAAATTGTGTCTCCTGGATCGAGTGAATTTAACTGTGTTTGGATGAGAAGTATAAATATATACCATTCTGACACACTATTAGCTTGTACACAACCCATCACAGCTGCACGCTGTTAGAAAATATATTTTTGGAGAAGTCACCTCCCAATAAATGTCATTTTGTAAAATCTAACTGCTCACTTTTACTCAGTACTTTTACTTTTAATACTTAAGTAGATTTTGTGTCAGAAATTTACTTTTGATACTTAATTACTAAAAACATCAGATACTTTTAAGACTTTTACTCAAGTAATATTTTTAGAGAAGACTTTAACTTTTACCAAAATATTTTTATGATAAGATACTTGTACTTTTACTCAAGTATCACTTTGAGGTACTTTATACAACACTGTATAAAATAAGGACAGTTTGTTCTCTGCCTTGTTGAAACACATCTAACTGAAATAGAAGCAGATGTGCTGAATGTGTCTTCTGAGAGTCTGCAGACTGAAATAACCAAACGAGATGTTTTCAGCTCAGGTTTCTGACACCTGCACGGATATGAGCGTGTGTGCTGTTAAACGTGCACGCTCCTGCTGCCTGCTGTGCACGATGGGCTTGCACAGAAATAGAAAGCTTTGGCAGTGGAGAGCAATCAGAAGGGTGTGAGAACGGAGGGGGAACGGTTTGAGTATTTATACTCGACTTAATCAGACGAAAAGCTTTTTCTGTTTGACCACGTCAGCGGCTCAATAATGAGACGTTTGATGATCCGACAGGAGAAAACTGTTGGTTTCACACCGAATGACTAAATATTTGAGCCCTGCATTGTGTTGAAGCAGAGCAACATGCAGGATGGTGGCTCTCACACTGCTCTAAAGTCTCTGAGCTTTTCATGAATGCATCTTGTGATTTTATTTATTTAAATTTCAGACCCTTAAAAGGTTCAAATTACTTTATATTTGTGAGCCATCACATCAAACTGAGGATTAAATTAAATTTGGCCAAAATGACTGCAGCACATTTTCAGTTTTTTAAACTTTTTTTACCGGGCCACTTGACTGTCAGGTCCTTGTACGACCGGTGTCAGAGTCTGGTTCGCATTGCCGGCAGTAAGTCGGGCTCGTTTCCGGTGAGAGTTGGACTCCGCCAAGGCTGCCCTTCATTACTTTCATGGACAGAATTTCTAGGCGCAGCCGAGGTGTTGAGGGGATCCGTTTTGG